AAAAAAAAATCGGCATCTCTAGTTTTAAAAATTGTGTTATTATTAATCAAATTATTTTTAGAATCAATAATGAAAAATCTTTAGGCATTTGTGTGAAGTGCATAGCCAATAAAAATACAATCAATAGTTTTCAGACCAAATTTAGTCTTTTAGGTACTGAAATACAAGCCTCAGCTAAACACCCCATACTTTTAAAATATTTATATAAAGGTGTTCTACCTTTAGAATTTTATAAGAGGACTTATTATTTTTCTTACTGAAAATTCTGTTAAGAATATAACATGTAGTAAGAAGGGCTTCCCCATGTGCTAAAAGGTAATCCAGAAGAGTTTAACATTAAAATTACCGTATTCCTAAGAATTCTAATTTTCCTTTCAACTACTTCATTAGATTGGGGAGAATTAGGTAGAGTGGTCTCATGAATAATACCATTATTAACACGGGATTTGTCAAAATAACTAGTATATTCTTCTCCCCTATTCGTTCTTAAAATTTTAATAGTTTAGTCTAGCTAATTTTATACTTCAGTTTTATATGAAATAAATTTTGAATAACTTTCATCCTTACTCTTAAGAAGATAAATGTAATAATATCGAGAATAATCGTCAATGAAAGTTAGAAAATACTTATTTCCACGACTAATAGATTTCTTAAAATGAATATCTGTCTTTTTATGCCAAAAAAGGGATAGAAACTCTTTTAAATCACATAAATCAGAATGTATTAAGTTTAAAATTGAAGTAGTTATATCAACATGAGGAAATGGTTTTCTAGCATACTTAAATTCAACACAAGTTTCACATTTTGTATTTGGAAAATTATCAATCTTGCGAATGTTTTCCAAACTCATTAATTTTTTAATAGAAGCTGTATTAAGTTATCCAGGTCTAACATGTCACAAATCATAAGAATCCAGTAAATAAACAGAAGAAGTAGATGCTTTATTATTAGACACACAAATATTGAGTTTAAACATAATCTTATAAACATACCCTTTCTTAACAAATGAACTGATCTTAAATAGTACAACTTGTCCACTTTCAAATACAATTTTAAATCCCTTTTTGACTAAAATAAATCCAAACATTAGATATTTTCTAATATCAGGTACGCAAAGGACCCCCTTCAAACTAAGGACATTTCCAGAATTAAATATAAGCGTTACGGTTCCTTTTCCCTCGATCTTGGAGGAAGAATCGTTCCCCATGAATAGACATTCTCCATCAGTAACCATAGTGAATGAAGAAAATGCACCCTCTATTGCAACGAATATGATTGATAGCTCCACAATCTATCCACAAGTTTGCCATGTTACTTACTAGATTAACTTCAGTCAGCATTACAAAGAAATTCCCATCCTCTGCTACATATGCCTGATTCTTCAAAGCTTTTTCTTTCCTATTTTTGCAGTCCTTTGTAAAGTGATTTGGTTTACCATAATTAAAACAATAACCAACAATTTTATTTTGAAATGGGGTTTAGACCATTGTCATTTCCAACAAAATTGTTTTCCCTTATTTTGATAAAATTTCTAGCAAATTTCTTGCTACTGGGAAACTTTCTTCAATAAAATTAGCCTTGGTACCCAAATCTGGTCTCTCGCTACGTTCTGTCATTCTATTGTCTTCTTCAATTCTACTCTTGATAATCAGATCCTCTAAAAATATTTCTTTTCTTTTATGCTTTAAACTGTTTTTATACTCTTTCCAAGTAGGTGCTAAATTTTCAATAATGGCAGACACTTGAAAACTCTCACATATTTTATATCCTTCTACAATAATTTCATGAATTATAATCTGTAATTCTTCAACTTGACTAACAACAGTTCTAATAACATCTATCTTAAATTCAAGAAATTTTCCAACAACAATTTTTTTAGTTCCAACATCTTCGGTGACATACTCCTTTTCTAAGAAATTCCATAATATCTTAGCAAATTTACACGACCAGTAAATATCATATAAATTCAACATCAAGCAATTCAAAATATAGTTTTTGCACATATAATCTTAATGTTCCCAACTAGCTAAATCTTCTATTTTCTTAGCAGTAGGCTCATCAGGAATTGCAACAATAGGTTTATCAGATTTAAAAGCATCAATCACTTTAATAGTTGTTAAATAAATCATAACTTTATTTGCCTTCTCTTAAAATTTTTTCCATCAAATAATTTAGGTTTCTCAGAATACTAGGAACAGATGTATCTATTGAAAACATGACAACTAATTATAAACATAAAACAAAATTGTAGAATGTAGAAAGTAGAACTTATCGATTGATCGAGTTTCGTGATAGCATGATGCACTGAAGTGAAATTGTCCACCGTTAACTACTGCGACCTATGTGGACAATCACTTCCAAATACAACAATCAAACATATAAATCGTGCAACAATTATAAATAGTTTCAGAACTCTCAAGTGTACTCTAAAAAATAGATATAATTGTAAAACTTGAGTATGAAAAATTGTAGAATATAAAAATGATAATTTTTTTTTCATGTCTCTTTTCCAAAACTAAATGTGTGTTTATATGAGCAGAATAAATATAACTGCCTCCACCGTATCCATAATTATTTGCAATTTTGATGGGTTGTTGAAAAACTGTCATATTATACTGGCTAGTTTGACCCATTAAATAATTTCAAAAATTAATTCAAATAAAAAAATATTATTTTAATCAAGGAAGCCGAATCAAAACCTTTTTAATTTTTGCATAAGATGTGACCCGTACCCGAGCTCCCACATAAATTCTACACTTTCCAATTAGGCACTTCATCTCAATTAGTTATTTCTTTCACATATTATATTTACTATATAAGATATCTAACCTGCGCAGAGAAGAAATGGTTCTGGACCAAGTTTACACAAGAGGAGAAAGATAAGATTCTGAATTTGGTCTGAACGTTAGGCGCGGTAGATTAAAAAACAGGATGAGGAATTGGTGCAGCAATTTTGCAATGAAGTTGGTATTAAAAGAAATGTTCTCCAAGTCTGGATGTATAACAATAAGTACACTCTTGGTGAGAAAACCTAACTAGACACCGTTTGGCTAGAATAAAAAGAAGATGGAATGATTCAACTGGTAAATTAGGTTGGTAGTTGAAGAAATTAATATTTTATGTTCTTATTCTATGATTTTTTTTCTAGCTTAGGGAACTGGGAACATCAATTATGTGGTTGAAAACGAAGGGCTGAAGCAGGTTTGCGGTGG